GCGAGGCGCTCGCGTGCGGCCGACGTGGCAATCTCGGCGCCGCCGCCGTCGTGCGGAGTGCTGTGGAGGAGGAGGAGGAGGAGGAGGAGGAGGAGGAGGAGGAGGAGGAGGCAGTGGAGCTTGGCCTCGAGGCTTGTTTGCGAGGACCTCCGCGGCCCGGCGGGATGGGGTGCGGGGTGCTCTCCCGCGGCAGGGCGGCCAGCCACCGCACCGGGAGCGGCAGCTGCCGCCCCGTCCTCCGCGCGGCTGCCTCGGCCCGCCTACACCTCAGGCGATGCTCAAGAAAACTTGAGTTTTCGGCCAGAGTCTCGATTATTCTTGACGTTTCAATGTAAATCCTAAGATTTCAGCAGGAATTCTGGGTTTGTAATCAAGTTCTGAGACTGTTGTGAATTTCTTGACCCATGATTTCTCCAGCATCTCGCAGGGTGTACCGTTCACCCGCATCCGCCATCACATCATCTCTCATCACCCTCGTTCTCAAACGTCGTCTCCAGTGGCGGCTTCGCGCCGAGAAGGGGGGTGGGAGGGCGCAGGTCCTTCTCATCGGGCGACCGCCGGCATGGATGCAGCGGGCGTGGATCAGCGACGGGCCCCGCTTCCATGGGAAACCGCGGATTACCGCCCCCGAGGGAAGCGGCAAAAGGCCGCATTTTGGGGGAGGGCGCCTCCCCCGATCCGTGTCTGCGCGCCCCCGATCTCAGGAGGCGGCGGGGCCTCGGAGAGGGCCCAGAAAGCTGTCTCATCGGGACGGAAGCCTTTGCGGCCTTCTGGGGAGGTGCGCCTTCTCTGAACCTTCCCCTCGGGGCGCGCTGCGGAGGGCAAGCTGTGCAGGATGAGCTGCGGGGGGAAGGGCGGGAACAGGGGAGTGGAAGGAGGAGCAGGAACAGGCTACCGCTGCGGGGGTGGGGGGCAGGGGGAGGGCGAGGGACACGGAGCAGTCGGCCTGGCGCGCCACTCCATCACTCTCGGATTTCGTTTCCTGCTTCTGGTCTCTTTCTCTGCCTCACTCTCGGTCGCGTCCCAGTGCTCCTCGAGCTTCCGCCGCTTCGCACCCAGGAGCGCTCTACGAGTCCCCCTCTCGTTCCTCTCTCTCTCTCTCGAGCCGAGGGCCCTCTCTCTCTCTCTCGTTTTTTTTGTTTCTCTCTCTCTCTCTCGTTTCTCCCTCCCTCTCTCTCTCTCGCTGCTCTCTCCCAGCACGCTCTGTGGCCACCTCCTGCGCGCGCCGCGCGCCGCGCGCCCGCGAGCGGGGGCCGCAGGAGGCAGAGCGGGGAGCCTTCGCGCGCGGAGAGGCCCCGCGCTCGAGCGGCTCCTCGCGGGCGGCACGGTGGGGAAGGGCCTCGCGCGCGCCGGCATCTGCGATCTGGGCCACCAGAAGAAGATCGGCGCGGTTCCGGGGGGGAGGGGGGGGCGCGAAGGGCGTCGAATACCGAGTGCCAGTGGCCCGTCGGGGGGTTGGACGGAGAAGGGGAGCAGGAAGGAGAGGGAGGGAGTAGGAGGAGGGGAGGGGGGGGCGCGAAGGGCGTCGAATGCCGAGTGCCAGTGGCCCGTCGGGGGGTTGGACGGAGAAGGGAGCAGGGAGAAGAGGAAGGGAGCAGGAGGAGGGAGGGGAGGGGGGGCGCGAAGGGCGTCGAATACCGAGTGCCAGTGGCCCGTCGGGGGGTTGGACGGAGAAGGGAGCAGGAAGAAGAGGAAGGGAGCAGGAGGAGGGAGGGGAGGGGGGACGCGAAGGGCGTCGTAGCGAGTGCCAGTGGCCCGTCGGGGGGTTGGACGGAGAAGGGAGCAGGAAGAAGAGGAAGGGAGTAGGAGGAGGGAGGGAGGGAGGCCCGAGCTGCGTGGAGAGGGGAAGTAGGGAGGGAGGGAGGGAGGAAGGCGGAGGAGGAAGGAAGGAGGACGAGGGAGAGGAAGAAGAGGGCACGAGTTCCATATGGGACGAGAAGGATGCGAACGGAGGGAGGGAGAGGAGCGTGGGAGGAGGACGAGGAGGTTCGGCACGAGCCCCCTCCCCCCGAACAAGTGACGCAAGGCTCGTGGGAGGCAGGGGCCGTGGTGCCAAGAGCAGAAGGGGGGCTCTCCCACGCGGGAGCCGTCGTGTTCACCCAGGGCTGGAGCAGGAGGAGGAGGAGGAGGAAGAGGAGGGGAGGAGGAGGAGGAGGAGGAGGAGGAGGAGGAGGAGGAGGCGGAGGAGGTTGGGATGCTGGGAGAGAGAGAGAGAGAGAGAGAGAGAGAGAGAGAGAACAAAAAAGAGAAAGAGAAAGAGAAAGAAAGAGAGAGAGAGAGAGAGAGAAAGAAAGAATAAACAAAGAGAAAGAGAGAGAGAGAGAGTAGGGCGGACAGAGTCTGTCACGCCGACGGGGCCACACCCCTCGAAACTTGATGGGAACAGCCTATATCCCCATCAAGTGGGGTAGGTAGGCCAGTGGGGCCCAGGCCACGCCGCTGGGGATGGGGATGGGTTTAACGATGCTCATCGAGCGCTGGCCAGCGTCCAGGGCTGCCACTGTCGGAGGCTGACGGACCTCCTGCCCCGACACGTCGAGTAGAGGCCTGGCCGCTTTCGGTTCGCGAGAGGGCGTCGGGGCCGTCGCTTTTGCGGGTCCCGGTCCGTCGGTTTCGGTCCTAGGCCGGTTTCATTCAGAGGTTGGTTTATTAACGTGAGGTTTGTCCACCGCCGACACTGGAGCGACGGCGTCGGGGCCCCGGGAGCGTGCTCCCCGAAGGCGAGAGGCCGCGCCGCCCGCCCCCGCGGAGCCGGGAGGCTCCCGAAGCAGTTGCGCCCTCTGTGGGGGGCCGCTGCGGCAGCCGACCGAGCCTGCACGTACACGCCGGCCGTTGAAAGGGGGTATTTCTGGATTCCCAGATCCCAATCTACCTCAAGCGCGTTCCTACTTCAAGAATCGGCATGCTTCTGCTGTATTTGGCTATCCTCTGGGAGGACCTGGACCCCATCTACTTTATCCGCCTTCCTGCGTCAGGCTTCTACCCACTTCTTCCGACCGGCGTGTAAGAGTGACCGTTGGTGCGGACGCATCGGGGTCCCACCGCTCGCCGGGCGCGATGTGATGATTAGCGGCTGCTTGCGCGCCTGGGCTTGGTCGCCCTGCGCCCCCCGAGTCGGCGCACCAGAGGTCACTCTGCCCAGGGTCGCTCGTGCGGGCGGGTAGCCGAGTCTTGGCCGCCGCAGTTCTCCCAGTTGGGTGCCACACGACGTCTAGGGAACTCCAGCCCGACTCTCTGGGGCTGTGGGTGGGCTGGTCTTTGGAACCCCCAGTTGAGCAACCATCATCTGTCTCGCCTTCGTCCTCCTGCTGCCTTCTTTCCCCTCTCCTTCCCCCCTCGGGTCTCCACCTTGTCATCGGCGTCCTCCATCCATCTGCCCCTGCCCCCCTTCGTCATCTCCCTCCCTCCCTTCCTCACCCCATCCCATCCGATTCCCCCTCGTCCCCCTTCGTGACCTGCCGCTCTCCTCTCGCCCCCTCTCCCTCCTCCCGCCGTCAATCCTTCGTCCTGCCACCTCCGAGAGGCATTCGCGAAGCTCTCCAAGGAGGAGCCTGCCCCGCTCTCGCAGGTTTGAGGAGGAGGAGGAGGAGGAGGAGGAGGAGGAGGGGGAGGAGGAGAGGGAGGAGGAGGAGGAGGAGGAGGAGGAGGAGGAGGAGGAGGAGGAGGAGGGCAGGGAGTGGGGGACCAAGGCTCAAGTCGGGCCTGTCCCTATACAGGAGGAATATTCAAACATTTGTTTTGCTTTAAAAAAATGTCTGGGGAGGATTTGTTGCACCATCTTTGAATAGTGTATGGTATTTTTGATATTTTGTAATTATTTTTGGTCCAAAATCCCCCTGTAGGGGGACAGGCCCGATTTAAACCCAGGCCCAGGCGGGCGACCACCCAGGTGGTGCGCCAGTCGCCTGCGCGTGCTGCCTCTCGCGCGCGGCTCGGAAGGGGGGCTGTTGCGTACGGCGGCACCGCGGCACGCCTGGCAGCAGCCGGGCTCGGCCGGGGGGGGAGCTGCCCTCGGCGCTGCCTCGGCTGCGGCGGACCTGCCCGGGCCCGGCGCGGCCGAGACGGTGACGAACCAACAACACACACCCATACCCATAGGGGGATCGGAGAGGGCTCTGGGTGCGTGTTGTCGGATGGGGATCCCCGCTCGAGCGGGAGCGTTCCCCAGGGTCCAACAACCCGCACCCATACCCACAGCCAGTCCTCATCCCAACGACCTCCCTATGGGTATGGGTGTGTGTTGTTCGTTCGTCAAGACGGGGGCGCGCGGCCCGCGGGCGTCGCCCCCTTCAGGGAAAACTAGAAAGGCTCCTACGCGTGCATGGGTCCTTTGGAAAGTACTGAAATACGAGCAGCCGAGGGTCGCCGCGGGACGGGCCGGGTGGCCGCCGCGCATGCGCGCGCGTCTCTGCCCCCCCCCCCCCCCCCCCCCCGCGTTCGCTCCCCCCCGCGCCCCATTTCCCCGCGTCCCCGGAGCGGGGGGCTTGCTCGAAAGTACGGCGCGGCTCTTTCGAAGGGATCTACTCAAAAGTATAATTTGCGGAAGTCACGGGCGGATCGTACTTTTGAGCGCATTTCTCAAAAGTACAATCGGGAAATTGTACTTTCGAAGGGGGGGGGGAATGGGCTCAAAAGCAGAACCGGGGGCCGATGGCCCGGGCCCTCGGACGCGTCGGGCGCGGGAGTCGCCGCGCGGCCATTCCAGCGAGACCACGGGCGATGCGCCCAAAAGTACACCCAAAACTACACTCAAATGGCCCATGGGACAATAGGACCCTTTCTACTTTCCCTCAAAACAGATTACGACAGCCCCCCTTGATGCCCTTGATGCCGCACTTGATGATGCCTTTGGAGGTTGCGGGGGGGGACAGGGACATTTGTTGATGAGTCGTTAAACGGTAGGTTGAACAGGTCGACTTGGCGCCGTTTTGGTTCTATGGGCGTCTTCTTGGGGTCTTTTGCGACAGATGTTGACATGCCACGGTTATGTCATCGGGGAGGGCGAGGGGGAGGGGGGGGGGGGAGGGGGAAGGAGGGGAGGGAGGGGGGAGGCGGGGAAACGGGGAGGGGGGAAAAGGGGGGGGGTGGGGGGGGGACAGAGGTGGAGGGGGTGCGGGGTGGGGGGAGGGAGGGGGGGGGAGAGGGGGGGGGGCGGGGGGTAAGGGTGCGGGGGAGAGACGGGGGAGCGGGGGGGCAGGGGCGGCGGTGGGGAGGGGGGAGGGGGAGGGGGTAGGAGGAGGAGGCGGAGGAGGAGGAGGGGGAGGAGGAGGGGGAGGAAAATGGAGGAGGAGGAGGAGGAGGAAGGAGGAGGAGGAGGAGAAGAAGGAGGAGAAGGCGGAGGAGGAAGAGGAGGAGGAGGAGGCGGTGGAGGAGGAGACGCTTGTCTTTGAGGTATGTTGTTGTGAGAGGCTATTGAAGGACGACGAAGGTCATCTGAGAGGCGCTCTTAGCGCCCAAGTGGGGCCTTCCGGCGCCCCCTTGGGGGCTCTTTGTTCGAGTCTTGGGGCCCTCTTGTGGCTCCTTGGAGGGTCTGGGAGGCCTCTTGGAACATCTTGGCCCCGATGAGTCAAAAAGGGGGGATCCTCAATTCAGGTCCCCCCTCCCCCCAGAGGCTTAAAGAGGGCGTCTCAGGGCCCCTTAGGGGAGCTCTTGGGGCGTTCTTGGGCGTCCTTGTGGCCCTCTCGGGGCCCCCTCTTGGGCACCTCTTGGGGCTCTGTTGGGCTGTCTTGGGGCCATCTTGAGGCCTCCGAGGCCCATCGGAAGCGAAAGGGCGAGGCGGCAAGCATCATACATTTGGCCTCGGTTTCGGAGCCGTTGTTGCCTCTTGGGGGGGTCCTTGGAGGGCTTGGAGGGCACTTGGAACCGTTTTGGGGCCGTCTTGAGGTTTTTTGGATGTGCGTCGGAGGCTATCTTGAGCCATCTTGGAGGCCATCTTGGGGTCTCTGGGGCCCTCCTGGAGCCATATTGGGCGATCTTGGGGGCTGTAGCGTCTCGCGCCCCCGCCTCCCAGGCCCAGGGGAGGGGTAGAGAAACGGGTGAACCCTCCCCCGCGTGGGGGAAGGAGGGGTTTTGAGAGAGAGAGAGAGAAAGAAAGAAAGAAAGAAAGAGAGAGAGAGAGAGAGAGAGAAAAAGAGAGACATAAAGAGACAGATAAAGAGAAAGGGAAAGAGAAGAGACACAATCCGTTGAACCACCTACGCCCAGAGGGCTTGGTGGGATTCGTGGAGCTTCATGCATCCAGGTGCAGGCATCCCGGTTCAAGCAGACTTGGTGCAGCTTCCATTTTGTCCGTAATCAAATCACACACGCACACACGCAAAAACACTTGGCTTGCGGGTCCTTCCTTTCTGTTCCGTGGGATGGCGGTCCAGAAGGCACCTTGGACCGTGTGGTCCGTGGTTGCAGTCGTCCTCAGCATCAGCGCACCCACTGTGACCTCGATCGGTGTGAGTTCCACGCCGAAGTGTGCAGATGACGACGCCCAAATTATTGCGCTGGCAAGCGGCATCGGCGTCACTATCAGTGGTTGTGGTGCGGTGCAGCCTTATTGCGAAGATGCGAAGTACGGCAGCACCGTGAAAGCGACCTGCCCTGCAACGTGTGGCCTCTGCAGGGTGGCCAGCCCTAGCAGCTCCCAGGCGGCTGAGGTGCTGATGGACAGGAGCTCCAGGGGCTCCCGGGACGCGGATGATCAACGGTCCTTGGACAGGGCTCTGGCAGCGAAAGGGCCCGACCCGACGCCGAGGCCGACGCCGTGGCCGACGCGGTACCCGACGCCGAGGCCGACGCCGTGGCCGACGCCGTGGCCGACGCGGTACCCGACGCCGAGGCCGACGCCGTGGCCGACGCCGAGGCCAACGCCGTATCCGACGCCGAAGCCGACGCCGTACCCGACGCCGAAGCCGACGCCGTACCCGACGCCGAAGCCGACGCCGAACCCGACGCCGAACCCGACGCCGTACCCGACGCCGAACCCGACGCCGAACCCGACGCCGAACCCGACGCCGTACCCGACGCCGAACCCGACGCCGAACCCGACGCCGTACCCGACGCCGAAGCCCACGCCGAACCCGACGCCGAACCCGACGCCGTACCCGACGCCAAACCCGACGCCGAACCCGACGCCGTACCCGACGCCGTACCCCACGGCCTTCCCGACGCCGTACCCCACGGCCTTCCCGACGCCGTACCCCACAGCCTTCCCGACGCCGTACCCGACGGCCTTCCCGACGCCCTACCCAACAGCTTTCCCGACGCCCTACCCAACAGCTTTCCCGACGCCCTACCCGACGGCCTTCCCGACGCCGTTCCCGACCCCTAGCCCGACGCCCAGCCCGACATATCCTTTGGGTTGGCCGACGCCACAACCAACGTTTCTTCCCGCAGCTCCTATGGCGGGTGGAGCTGCCGGAGGCGTGGCTGCCACCGGCGATCCCCACCTTCAGAATGTTCACGGCGAGCGGTTCGATTTAATGCAGGCGGGCAAACATGTTCTGATAAACATCCCTCGTGGAGTGAGCGCTGAAGACGCATTGCTTCGTGTGCAGGCCGATGCGCGCCGCCTGGGTGGAAGTTGTTCGGATATGTATTTCCAAGAACTGAACATTACAGGCTCTTGGGCAGAGGCTAAGCAAGTTGGAGGGTACCACTACGGCGTACGGCAAAGCGTTAGGACGAGTCCGCAATGGGTTGCTATTGGCCGGGTAGAGCTGAAAGTCGTCCATGGACGCACAGAGAGTGGCATCCTGTACTTGAATGTGTTTGTGAAGCATTTAGGGCAATCAGGGTTTGCCGTCGGAGGTTTGCTGGGGGAAGACGACCACAAGGACGCGATGACTCCCCCGGCGTCTTGTACCAAGCACATTCCTTTGCTAGAAGCAGTGACGAGTGGCCAGGTTCCTTCCTCCGAGTCGTCGGTTGCAGCGGCAACCTTCGCGTGACCATGCTGGATACTTTGGAATGTGGGTATATGACAAGTACGCCCATTTGGGTGACGCATGCGGTAGTGTTTTCCTGCTCCATAGAACAAGAAATAAGAACCCCTAAGTGCAAGCATTGCTTGGGGAAGAGGCCTCTAAAACAGTTCGCGGATGCATTCCATGACCCCTGGTGCCATCTAAGAGCGTGATGGAAGTGTGGCTTCAGACCGACGCCCCCGAGGCCTTCGGAAAAGTCACGTGGCATCCTACTTCCCCAGGCTTCAGTCCTCTCTGCCCTTCCTTCGCCCCCCCTCCCTCCTTTCAGGAGGGACGTAAGGCCGGTTGCCCAGAGAGGGCGCCTCATCTGTCCTCATTGGTTTTGCGGTCCGCATGCGCACATGCCTCACGTGAAGGCTCTTCCCGTTTTGGCCTGGTGAGGTTGTTCTGCCGCCCTCGATGAGGCCGCCACAGGAACCGCGCTGGAGCAGAAGGTGCAGGCAAGAATATTGCATTGCATACGTGGCGTTGTCGCGGCGGCGGTAGTCCTTCCGCCGTTCGGAGACACGGCGCCAATACAATGCCCCCTTTCGGCAGCCGCACCCCCCACTCCAAGGATGCCTTAGCCTTGGC